GGTTAACCCTGACATTCCCTCGCTTACCCCAAATCCTGTTCCGTAGTTCGGGGCGGAAGAAAAGGTGGCACGTAAACACCTGATCCAAGTTTCTGAACTTTTATTGTCAGTAGAGAAATGAGATGATGAGAAATCAAGACGAACCTGCACACATGTGATCAGAAACCTGGATGTTCAGAATCATATTAACTGTGAATAACCAGGTTTCTTATGATCCATGTAAACAAAAATATACGAGCAACCTAACTTTCTTTAGTTCTTTTATGATAATTTCAGTAAACTGTAAGAAGATATCAATTCAGTTTCTCTGCTGACTGAATGACTGAAATTACTTTGATCGGACAAAACAAAAGACATTTTTAAATAAAATTTAGTCTCTTCGTGACAACAGATGGGTCGAGGTCTTTTCTGAGTTTTCATTCATATATTTGTGTTATAAACTGTGTATTTACAGGCTCTGTATTCACTGTCTGTGCTACCTGTCATTTTGTTGGAGTTTGTTGTGTCTATAACTGGATACATATTGTTGTTGTGTATACATTTATCTTTATGAAGGATTTTTTCCCCCTATTTCAGAATGAAATGTGAAGAGATATGTGATGCCAAATCAAATAAAGGAAAATTATGAACAAAGAAAATAAAACAGTTGTGATTATTATACAAACTTTATATCTGATAACAGTGATCATAATTAAAATATATAGTGATCATATCTTCATGTGCTGTGGAGTTTAATACATTTACATGGGATTAATAAACTCACACTCTCAATATCTGTCAATGTGTATTTAGTAAATTTGATTTCATGTTTTTCACTGAGTTCATTGTTGTCAGAATATTATTTGGGCAACATCCTCTACGATCTGTGTGTTTCTGCTGCAGCTCCAACTGCTGACAAACTACAATCAATCACTTCCTGATGTTTTTACAACAGCTGCATGCACCTTTCACCTCACACGGTGTCATTGCCCTCCACACCGTCCTGTGGAAAGTTGATTACAATAATTACAATTTAAAGAACAATTTGTTCATCAGCATCTGCTGTTGCAAAGATTTGTGATATTCTTTGGACTGGAGCTGGGTTAATTTCCTTTTCTTCCAAGGCTTTGTTGCAGTTTAGTTTTCAATGTGATGTAAGTAAATACAAATTAAAAAGGTCTCTTATTCCCCTCTCTCTCTCTCCAGATGAGACCTTCATCCTAACGATGCAGCATCTCTCCTCCTGGAGTTCAGCATCACTCTCAGTCTGCAGGAAAAAGCCTCGGAGCCATCCGGATATCAGACACATCCGTATATATCTGTCCTCTTTCAATACCTGTCTCTCTGTTGTCTTCTCTGTTTCCCTGTCATTCTCTTCTTCTCCATCCTCTCTTTTTTCCTCTCAACTACAGTTCACACTGTGCTCTCGTTGCTTTTTTTCTCCCCAGTCTCCTCGGCAGATCACTCCGTACTTCCTTGCTTTATCTCTGGCTTCCCCACAGATGTCGTATCTACCTCCTGTTTTCTCTTTCGACTGCAAGATCCTTTTCACAAGACAGATCCAAGCCCTCTTAAATATGAAATACATTAACGTGCGTTATCATGTCTTTGTGACCTTTCATAACATGTTTGTTACATGACTTTGTTACATGTTCTTAATTCACTAACTTCTTTAAAGGCGCAATGTGTATGATCTGGCCGCATGCTTCCAACAATAGGCAGTCGTTAACCAGGTTAGACCGAGACTGCAACTTCCGGTTCTGCCAAGTGAAGCCGATGCTGAAGTGTCTTATACTGGCATTCTCACTACTGACCAGCAGGGGGCGACCCCTCCGGTTGCAAAAAGATGTAACTTGACGAAGAGTCTACCATCATGCTAGCAGCTCTGTGAGGTTGTACTTGATTCGGCCAGTCTGCAAACTCAGGTTCTGAAAAGTGAAACCAAAGCTGAAGTGTCTTAAAGCTGCATTCTCTCTAATGTCCACCAGGGGGCGACTCCTAGAGTCAAACAGACCATAAAGCAGGGGATGCTTTAGGGCGGGGCTACACAGTGATTGATAGGTCGGTAAAGCTATTAGAGACGTCTACGCCGTCTCTACATCACTTCTTCACATTCCAAATATGGTAACCTCTGTTCATTGGTTGCAAAAAAAACAACAACATGGCGACAGCCGTAATTTCAAGACGGCAACAGCAAAATTGCCGAACTCAAGGCTTCAAAACAGCAGTCTACAAACCAATGGGTGATGACGTGTCTACGTCCACTTGTTATATACAGTCTATGGTTAAAACGTTAACCGCTTAAAAAATTAAACGCTTAATGCTAGTTGCTACAGCTAACCGCCTGCTCACCTCCCGGCGAAGTAGTCTACTCAGGGCAACAGGGACGAAAGGAAAATGTAAGTCGTTTGCGCCACTTTGGTTGTAAAGAGTTGTGACCATCCTGCTACGTCGATTTTGAATGTGAACGTCCGTTCTACTCCTATTACGTTCCCGTGGATTTTACTCTGTGGGTTCTGATAATGAGCTCAGTTTAAATAATGACATCCATAAGACTTTCCGATCAGTGAGTTAGTTGTAAATCATTGTGGACTGAACAATCAATTGATCTTTTGTCCGAACAAAATGAAGTGAACTACCAGAAAGAAAGCACCTTGGTTGAACAGCTGTCACAAACACCTTCCCCTTTAGGAAAAGAAAACTACATATACAAGTCAATGCTGAAAGTTAAAAACGTTCATGATGAAGTGGAGCTCAGTGCCACAGGCTGCAGGATTCCCCTCACCGTGCACTGACAGCCCTGTTAGGCAGCTCAGAGGCTGGGAGTTTATCAGCTGCCTCTGTGGCCCGAAGCAGTTCAGGTGGACAAGTGTATCCCTGTGGACAGGACACAAGTCCATGAGAAGGGTTTACCCCAATCCATCCCTTCAATGCTGAGTGCCGAGCAGAGAAGCTTTGTTTTTCAAATGACTACCAAAGATCAAAGTCCGGAGCTCACCGTGTCAAACCGGACATTCCTACCTGGGCCTGAGGGATGTTGGGAACAGCTGATCATTCGTAATCTCTGCCTCTGGCTGGGTTTACAGCCCCTTACCAAACTGTCAATCACTGGAAACTCAGGTATTAGAAAGATATTTGTGCTTCATCAAAATGTAATATAAATTCACTCTGGTAATACCACAGAAGTTCATCGCATCAAGAAAAGCCTGTAAGCCGGACCTGACGTGGCTCCTTTTTACAAATCTTTATTCAATTCCTCACAACTCTTCACACAGTTAGACTAAACTTTTCACTGCTTTGACTTTGAATGCTTTCAGTGACCACATGAAATTACGAGAACTCTTTTCTCACTCAAACTCGACCACCGCCAAACTTGTGTATTCAAACTCCTTTCTACATGTTTGCACGCCATTTTTAAAAGAGAAATTGGCAACATTCTTCTACGACAAAAATAGTAAAAAAGGAGGAAGAAAAGTACATAAAGAGGTGATTGGGCCATGCACCGTTCAGTGCCTCATGTCATTCCTGGATGACCTCTACAAAAGAGTGAAAGGTAGAAAAAAGAGGTTAGAAAGGAGGCAAGGACACATGGAGGACCGAAGGTGTGACGTGGAGGAGACACTGCTGCATCTTACATGAAGCTCAGCACAACAGTTCCTCTAACAACATACATTTTTGTAAAGAGGACACATGTAAAATGAAGTGTAAATACGGAGAAGTTTGGTGGAAGTTGAGTTTGAGTGAGAAAACAATTCATGAATAATAAGTGATCATTAAATGCATTCACTTCTACGCCGACGACACGCTGCTATATTTCCTCAAAACATTGTTTGTTTTTAAATGTATATCTCAATTACCCTGTTTAAAACAGCTTATGGTTCCCTTCTCCTCTAATCATCAACTAAGCCATTCCATACAGCATACAATACAGATTAATACTTTTCTGTAAACTAATTATATTTTGGTTCAAATGATTGTAATTGCATTTTAAATAGCTATAATTTGAAAACTGTGGAGCGTTTTGAAAGTAAAGTCAGTTTAGAGAAATGTGTGTAACTAATTGTAAACAAACTGTAATAAAGAAGAACATGCAAGTTTGCCCACTTTGCATGTATGGATTCAGTAAAATGTCATTAATACATCTAAGTGTCCAAAAACAACCAACAGATGTTAAACAGATCTGTAGGGACATGAACCAGAGCTCACATAATCGCTATTCATCCCTGCAGTGCATGGTGGAGTTGTGCTATAGCTTATTAACACTGTTCAGCAGATTGCATTCCACATTTCTTAAAGGCCTAAATGCAGAGACTCATTTCATTTGGCAGTAGTTTTTATAAAATTGTGATCAGACTTGAAGGCCATACAATAATTATAAGCACCTTTAAACTGTTCCAACAAGTTACCTCCATCCTATAACTTACTCACATTAGAACACATTTTCAGTTTGAGCCTTGGATGACAACGAGCCACTTGTGTCAGCCTCCGGGACTTCTTAGAACCTTTTGAAATCCCAAAGGAGAGAGACAACAACACAATCATGCCCAGTCTCTGAGGAGTGGTAACTCCTGGGGATTGCAGCTGTTGTCTTTTATTAAATCTACCCACTGGAATTGCTTCATCAGGACAGAGTAGCCGATGAGAGCAAACAAGATCTGGGGTCGTAACAAACAGACAGCAAGTAATATGTCGGTCTGTCTACATGCAGTCATTTACCAACCACATGCGCTTTAAATTCCATCTTGATTCATACATGAGATCATTGCAACTGCCTTTTTTTCCCTTCTTTTTTACATTGGTGTCATTTCACTGCAACATGTGGATCATTGGGTTTCATAACAAAGCCTTCCTCTCTCTGCTCAGATGAGGATGAGATTATTTTCTAGTGTCAGATCAGGCTCGTCTGGAAGCCTTTAGGCTGATAAAATGGGACACAACAGTGATAGTGACCCATTATGAATGATGCCGTAATTCTCTGCTTGACATGGATTTTCGCTATATTGTGATTTGTTGGTGATTATTAATTGCAGCGTGACAGAGTATGTGCGTGATTCTCCTGTTTTTAAACTGAGGGAGACAGGGATTTGTTATTATATAATGCTATTTTACTGTGGCTGATAATGAAAGTCATGGAGACTGTGTAACAAGACTCTGAAGTTATGTCACTATGTGAGAGTGTATGGAAGTTTAAAGCCTTTGACTGCATAATCAATAATCAGAGGTGTAGAACTTAAGTTACATGACTTGTACTCGAGTCAGACTCCAGTCGCAACGATGGCTTTAGTCCTGACTCAACAAAATCAAAAGGAGGCTTAGAACCCAAATTTTACTTTAATACTAGTGACGTGTTGCTTCACTTGGACTTGAGCCTTTTGACTTTGAAATACTTGATCCCTTCACCAAAACCCAAATATTAAAAAGTATATTATTTAAAATGTATGGTATTCATCACCAACAGATGCAGGAGAGAACCATGAAGAACTAGGACAACATTACTGAGCACCAGTTGGAAAAAAAGGATACCAAAGCTGATTTCTTCCCACATGGTGGTCAAACAAAACTGAATTGCAGTATGAAACAAGTGTGAGTAAGTACCGATTACAGACACGCATACGACATTACTTTTAGTGAAGAGTTTATAATGACTTTGAGTTGAGACTCGAAACTCAAAGTTTAGGACTCAGGACTGGCCTGTCTTGACTTGTGACTTGCAAAACAATGACTCGGTCCCACCTCTGATAATCTGTATGATGTCACATGTCGAGAGTAGGTTGGTTACCTGGAGTTGGCAAACAAAATGTGTCCACAGACAGCAGAAAAACCACTGGTGATGTAGGAAAGAAAGGCGGTAAAATCTTTGAAGAGACGTATCATTGTGGACAATAGGAACTTTCATCAGACTGTAGTGCAACAGTGTCTGAGCGTTACCAAACATTTCCGACTCAAATCTCGTGTCACAGTCATAGTCAGAGGTCAGAGACTTGATGCTAAGGTTTTGGTCACAGCAGAAAATGGAACAGCAACATTCATCCGCGTGTCATCTCGAAAATATGGTTCTGGAAGCTTGGTGACAGAGTGACTATTGGGACTGCTAGTTGGGGAACAACAAGCTAACTGGTAGTCAGTCACAACAGATCAACAAGGTTATTTCTATTTTCTCTGCACTGTTTTGTTTACTCCCCCTTGACAATTTAATTTCTTCTCATTCCAAATCATCACATACCGACTTGGCTCACTTTGCAGGCAACACATGGTTGCGAACAAAAACACTTGCTTAGGTTCAGACAACAAAACAACTTTGTTAGGTTAAGGAAAAACCTCATGGTTGAGCTTAAAATAAGTACATAAATTAAGTAAAACTTAAACAACGTAACATAGGTATGAAAAACAAGTGATTCAAAATGACTAAACAACACTTTGGGACACGTACACTAGTCTCCAACACCGTTCTCCTGGTTGAAAGTCCTGTGTTTGTGTTCATTGTTTTGATGTATTATTAGAAAGAGAAGCGCAGCTTTGAGAATATGTAGCTCAAACACCAAAACTGTTTTTCAATTTGCAAACAGGACATGAGTCTTGTGTTGTCGTACTATCTACTGAAAGTGAAATACTGTAATCACCCAGCCATCAAACAATCCAGCTGTTCATCTTTCATCCACCCTTTCGCCCATTCATCCATTGGTTCCTACCTTTTCTGCAGACTGCGCCGTGCCAAAGAAGATGGGTATAAAAGCCAACCATACGATGCAGGTGGTGTACATGGTGAACCCGATGGGCTTGGCCTCGTTAAAATTCTCCGGCACCCCGCGGGTCTTTATAGCGTAAACAGTACACGTTACCATCAATAAGATGCTGTAACCCAACGAACAGATAATCTGAAGATCCGTGATGTCACATTTCAACACCCCTCGGGCCAGATACGGGTTGAAGGTCTTCTGCTCGTCATAGTCTATGACAGTGTTGGGCGGATCCACCACGAACCAGATGAACACCCCCAGCAGCTGGACTGAGATGAGGCTGGAGGTGATTGCCAGCTGTGAGGTGGGGCTGATCAGCCTGGGCGCCGTCACTGACTTCTTGCCCTGCTCGAAGATTCGGTAGATGCGGTTGGTTTTGGTGAGGAGGGCGGCGTAGCTGATGCACATACCCAGACCCAGGAAGATCCTTCTGAACGAGCACACGCCAACATCTGGCTTGGCGATCATGAGGAATGTGATGATATAGCATAAAAATATCCCAGTCAGGAGGACATAGCTCAGCTCCCTGCCGGACGCTCGGACAATCGGCGTATCGTTGTACCGTATGAACGTCGCCATGACGAAGATCGTAGCGATGATGCCGAGCATTGCCAGGAAGACCGGAATCACCGCCCAGGGTGAGTGCCATTCCAGCTTAATGATGGGTATAGGCTGGCATGCCGTGCGGTTGGCATTGGGCCTCATGTTGTAGGAGCAGTGCTTGCAGGTGAACTCGTCGAACTGGTACTGGTAGCCGTCGCAGGACTCGCAGTGCCAGCAGCAGGGCATGCCTTTCACTACCTTCTTCCTCTCGCCGGTTCTACAGGGAAGGCTGCACACCGAGCTGGGAATGTCCTGCTCCCCTCGAGGCCACTGCATGTCTTCGATCTGGAGAGAGAGCAAGAGAGCAATGAACGGTTAGATCAGTGGCTGCCAAACTTTGCTAACCACAGCACCTTGATAGACAATAAAGATCTTGTCTGCCTCTCTGAAATCCTAAAATGTCAACTTTGTTGAAAAAGGCAATTTTCTTCACCTTGAAAGCTAAAGGGGAAAAAGATTATCTGAAACAAAAATTGGTGTGTGAGTACATCCCATACGTTGTAAAACTTCAATGCGCTGAGAAGCCACTTCTAAGTAATGACATTGTAAGAAATCGACGCTGAGGTTCTGGTGTCTCAGTCTCAGATTTATAGCTGAGATTTTTATCTTGCAGTGTGTAGCGCTGCTGTTAAACAAGGGGTTTGCTTTGGCTCTGGCTTGTAACTCAAGCAAAGGTCTCATTGATTTGACAGCTTGACTGCTCCTAATGAGTAATGAATACTCTATTAGTCCAACATCAATATGGATAAATTCCACCTGGATCATAGCGCTGCACTGAGAGGACATCTTAGTTATCTGCAATTTCTACTCAGCGTTGCAGCCAGGTGGCATTTAATTATGGCTCTGCAACTGGAGGATCCTTTATCAAGGCACACCCTGCTCCTCGAGTTTCACCATCTTTCACACTGAGCATACTTCAAATTTAAAAACACATTGGAAGACTGGACACAGAGTAAATTGTACTGAGTAAACGAAACGGTTGTCCACACTGAGAACGACAATGACATGTAAACGATATCGTTGGTGTGTGTGTAGTCCATCAGTCTGTATATAAGGATGTAGTGCCTCCATGCCAGCGGTAGTGTAACAATACTTCATGCAGACCTTCAGTTGTGTCTCAATTCAGTGGCCGATTCGGCTCTGTGACTGCAGGCTTAGCGGCAGAGCATGACAAGTAATCCACAAGAAAATGCAATATTCTCGCCTGCGAATATTTTGTATCAAAACTATTCATATTGGCAGTTGCAAAAGACTTATCAATAAAAAGTTTGAATTCCCTCTGGTAAATAGTTACAGTATATACGTCTCGGGCTTTTATTGTGAAAGGTAAGATGGTAAGGAGGAGTGGATCTGGTCTGGAGTAATAAAGTTTACCCACTTTGTTCCTACTCCTGTGTGATGAATGACAGTGTATGCTTCTGTTCGGGATGCAAAAGCTCAGAAAATCGACCTCACAAGTTCACCTGACAAAAGCAAGTAGTTCGACAAAATATATTGACGTGATTGAAAGCTTCAATTCTGCAACATGTGCATCGATTTGAATGGTTTAGTCCCCATTAGCTTACGCCTTAGCGGCCGCTAATCTTCCTGGGGTCCACAGAAAGGACAAAACGTAATACACACAAAACATGCAAAACCACATGAATATGCGGCTCGCTGGGAGGTGTGTGCCCCCTTTGTACTTAAATGAGCTGCATATAAACTCTACTACACCCCTGGAAGCAGACGGAAATTTAAAAAAGGAAGCATTCAATTATTTTTAATATTTAATTTGAAAGAGGAGAGAGCCGATAAGTCAGAAGCATCCACAATATCAAACTTTCAATATGCTACTATGTGAAATTGGAAGTGAGCTGAAGTGTTAAGGATCATTAAATCAGCTTGTGTCCTCCCGACAGTTCCCTTTTGAACCTACGCCCAGACCTTTGGAAGGAGCTCCAGCGACTGACGGTGGCCAAAAACCATGTTGTTGTGTATTGATGTTGATTATCTTGGCAGATAGAGACTTTTTTTTTTTTTTAAAGGATTCGAAAGGATTTCAAATGGCTCTGTGACCCCGGAGCCGATCGATTACACAACGCTAAGGACACCCTCAGACAGATTATCTACAAAGGCTGATCTGAACCAGTGTTTGGTTCCAGCAGCCTGAGGGGGGACATTGGGTGTTATTGCCACCCACCATCAACCAGACTCTCCCCATGCTCTTACAAAAGCCAAGTTGAGGACCTGGGATAGTTCTGGATAAAAAAAAAAAAGGCAGCGTGGACCGAACAGCCTGAGTCAGCCGACAGCTGGTATTTGGCCACGCTGAGGATTTCAGCGGCTAAAAAGGCTCCAAACAGCCCTCTGATCTTCCTCCCTTCCCCAAACGCGGCAGCACGACTCTGAGGCGAAGCGAAAGACGCTCTTTCTCTTACTTCATTTCTTTTCTATAAAGGTTTTCTGATCATATTCATCAGCACATCCAGCACTCCCACATTTTTGCCGACTTCACGCTAAGATCTTACTTATTGTATTCTGCGCACAGCCAACACATCAAAAAACGACATGACCGGCTGACACAGATCCCCGCTGCTCCTCCTCAGCAGAGCGAGGTGAATACGCTCCCCCATTTAGCATGTGAGGTGTACTAAAACCCTGTCACTTAGGAAACAAGCTTTCCGCTACACAGAATTGATGAGTGGCAAACCTGTGCCTGGTTACGAAATGACTCACGGCTTCCCTAAAGTGATCTCAGACCGGAGGTTCAAAATGGGATTCAGAATGCTCAGAGCAACGCCGGGTAAGTCGTTTAAATGAAAAACGCCATCTGTCTTCCCGCCTTTCGTGGTGGTCAAGAGGACTGCCAGCCGCTGCGGCATGTTCAATAATTCACTCAGGTCTTTGAGGAGGTGTCACAGTTGGTAGACAGATCCAGATGAGAGGTCCCTCTGGTTTTAAATCTGCGACTTTGTGCCCATATAAAAGCCCCTCCGGCTGGAGATCGGCCTCAGCAGGTGATTAAGTCCCGGGGTCCTGAACTTCCAGGTACAGTCTCACACTCTTTGGCAACGAGATGAAAATAATGAGGAGAACCACGTGTTTGTGGCACGGACTCCATCTCAGAGGTTAAAATAGAAACATGTGAGGAGCACAAAGGGCTGCTCTGTACCAAGGAAGAGTTGTTAGGTGTGGAGGGTGAAACACTACCATGATGCTTCCTCAGTGTATAACTGACATTAAGAACATTCTTCTTTGAGGAAATGAGGGATTTTATACATTTAAAGAACAGAAATCTGAACGTTAGATAAAGAAAGATTAAAAGTTTAATAATCCCTTATTAAAGAACTTCTGCCAATAGAAAACATCGTCACGTGAGTTTGTTGACAACGGCATTAACTCTAGGCATGCAAATTTAGGATTAGGAAAGCAAAGGAAGACAATGGAAGCAGATCATTTCTCTCTCTCTCTCTCTCTCTCTCTCTCTCTCTCTCTCTCTCTCTCTCCCCCCCCTCTGGTTTTCCTTATCAGTCCCTGGCAGACCTTTCGCTCCTCAGACTCTGCTCGTCGATAAACCGTCTGCCCACATCGATGTCATTGTAGGCTGCCGGGTCAGGTGAGCCCTTCTGTCTGAATAAAGACGCTGTAAAGTGTCCCAAACAAACCAACCACCTGTGAGGAGGAAGAAAGTGGAAACGTGTCCGGCCTCTGAAGATACAGGAGGGGGAGGGGCGGCTTTTCTTTCAGCTTCTCTTTCACTGCGTTTGTTTGTGTGACGTCTCGTGCTCTTCTTCTATCCGTCTCTATTCATGTATCCGTGCTCCTCTTATTTCCCCAAGTATGGTCCAGGGTCTGCTGTAGGGCGACCAGATCCATAACACCAAAAAGGAGGACACTCTGCGGTATTTAGTGAAGCTGTGAATAATTGCATAGGACTCTGGCGTGCTCCCCTCTACAATACAACTTTGTATTGTACAGGACACGCCCCCTCACTGTTCATTTGTTATTTGATTGGACGCTGCAGCTGAGCGGTCTGACGCTGGAGTTTCATACCACGGTGAAGACGACCACAGATTAAACTCAAGTTATATATTAGATCTGTTTTCTGATTCACCATCTGGTTAAAATATGTTCATTGTAGTCTGAACAACAAAAGACCTCAAACAACTTTCTTCATTTATAAAAAGATTTGATCTGTTGTTTCCCTAAATAACTTGTATTATGTAATTAAAATCATAGAGCTGGAGAGAGGAAACACTTTTTACAACATGTAATGACGAGAAACCATAATCATTGTGGGTTATTTTATGATGACGTCACAATCAGAATTTAAAAACATACCGACGTAAATAATTAATAAATAAGACGCATTCCGCCGGTAGAAACGGTGCTGCGCGTATAAGCAGGACACAGAACACAGTATAAATACACACACTGTGTATAAATACCACACACGTATAAAAATACTCAATGCAGTTTGGTTAACAGGTAACAGACTACAGAGAAAACATCTCCACTCTGACAGTGATGATAACTGTGTCTTTATTAATATAAGTAGTAGTTTAACACCATTAATGAATGTTCGCTGAAAACGGCCCTGAGCAGAAAACAACTCTGTACAGTCATCATGTACAGACACAAATGGAGAGGAGAGAAGACGCGAGGAGATATGTTTCAACAGACATGAGACGTCCTTTCCTCTGAAGCGTCACGTGAAGCGACGTCGGTTTCTGATGATTGAGGTCAGTCGGCCTCAGTGCGTAGATATGACGTAGCCAGCACACGGAGCCTTGTTTACGTTTTTAACCAATGATATAGGGCTAGAACCTAACCTAAGCCTATCAGAGATTTATTTGACAACGCTTTTCACCAATCATTTGTTAGACTGCGTTCCAGCAAAATATTCTGTCGCGCGGCTCTTTAGGCCCAGTGGAACTCCAAAGAGGAAGACAAAGTTTGATTTTTTTAATGAAGCTGAGCTACTTCACAATGTTTCCTCGTTCCTCGGTGCTCTGCATCCTTTAATTGCTTGTATCATAAATGTTTCTTTTTTCCTGTTTTTTACCTCCTCAGATCCCGCCCACGCAGTCACGAGGCATTCGACTTCTCTTTACATCTACCTGACTGAAACTCACTTAAGCCGTTACAAATCCCTCAGAGGAGTGTTCCTTCCCGTTAATGCGTGGCCGCCGTCGTTACAGCGGCGACTACGCATCGTGATTAAATTGATTAATTGAATATTGCTCCCCGCACTGGATTGTACACATTTGGCAGATTAGCAGCAGGCCTGACTGAACCAGAACGAGTGATGGACTAATCAGACGAGTGCCACCGGGCCGTCAGAGGAGCGTTGTGTTGCTGCTTCGACGATACTTTTAAACACAGCATG